CGCCGCTGGAAATTCCCCCGCTCCTTCACCTCCGCCGTCGCTCGAGGTGCCGTCCTCGCCGCCGCCGGCGGCCGCCGTCTCCACTCCGCCGCCGTCGCCGCCGCGGCTATCCCTTCCGCCGACGCCGACGCCGCCGACGCAGTCGGTCTCCGGGCGGCGGCCGCCTTCACGCAATCCCGCCATCGTGAGCGCCCGGGAGGCGTTAAAACGCAGCGTCAGCGGCGGCATTATCCCGTCGCCGTCACCGCCGTCGCCGTTGCAGTTGCCGTACTCAGGCTATCCGCAGATCCCCTCGCCTCTCACAGTCTACAGCTCTGACAATGGCCCGGCAGGGGCACTTTGGACCCCAAGCTCGATTGAGCCGCCGCCGCCGCGGTACGTCAATGCCGTACAGGCAGGGTGCCGGTTTTCGGTGCGTTAGCGGTTACCCGAACTCAACTGCCTCATCTGCCTGTCGCATAGCTGTCTCCCCTTCCCTCCTACGCAACTAAGGGGGGGACAGAAGGGGGTTCGAGAACGGACGATGTGTCCGAGGTGACATTCCCCGCCCCGCCCCGGGGCCCCCCTCCTTGCAGGGAAGTCACCGCTGCTGCGCCGCCGCACACCGCCGCCGCCGCCGCCGCCGCCGTCGCCGTCGCTGGCGATGTTCCAGTTTCCACCCCCACCCCCACCCCCGACAACCGCAATAGTTCCACCTTCGGCAACACCAATATACTCTCGTCTACCGCTACCGGTGGGAATCCCCTTTCCGGAGGAGGGGGTGGGGGGGGGACGTTCTCGCCGTCCTCCAACACCTGCCGCCCCTCCGACCCCCCCCTGGCGGCGCCAAATCAATCAAGCCCCCTCCCGCCGCCGCCGTCGCCGCTGCCGTCGCGACAGCTACTGCCGCAGCCGCTGACGGGCGCGCTCCTGCTGCTGTCGCCGCCCTGGCTAGACGCCACAGCCCCCGCCGCCGCCGCTGGTGCCGTACCCGCTGCCGTACCTATTGCCACGCCGCGTGCTGACGACTTGGTAGACCTGCAGGCTGACCTGCTTGGCAACGTGCTGGGGCAGCTTAGGTAGGGTAGGGGTGTGGGTTACTGGGGGGGCATTGGATTGGGGTTGGTTGCGCTTGGCAATCGCTGCCTGGCTGTCTGTGTCCATCTGTCTGTCCGTCTGTCGGACATTCTGTCTGTCTGTCGCTCCCTGTCGCCCCTTGACTGATCGACACATGCGGGTTTGGGCTGAGCCGTACAACCGTACACAGATGTCCGTATGTATGTCCGTTCGGTCGCACATCAGGCTGAGCAAGGCTCGTAAGAATGTGCTGAAGAGCAGTTTGGAGAGCCGTACGGGTCTTGAACTCAAACTGGAGCTCATTAAATTGGCAGTCGAGCAAACGTTGGAAGCGGTCGGAGACCCGCAGAAGCTGGCGACGGCGGCGGCGGCGCCGCCGCCGCCGCTGCAACAGTCTCAGGCGCCATCGACGCCGCTCCGCCCGCAGCACCGGGAGGACAGCGGCGGGGGAGCCGTCGGCCTGCCGCAGCAAGGGGGTCCTCGACCACTGCCGCCGCCGCCGCTGCAGCCGCCGCCGCCGTCGATGCTACCTAGCACCAAGTCCAACAGCAGCGACGGCGCGAGGGCGGAAGTCTTGCAGTCGGTCGGCAGCGGCGGCAGTCCCCAGTGGACGAGCCGTAGCAGCAGCCTCAACGGCAAAGGCAGCGGCAGCGGACGCGTCAGCGGCGGTGACGGCGATGCCACCGCCGCCGCCGTCAGTACGACGGTGGAGAGTACCGGACGGGTATCCGCAGTCCCGCCA